GTCTTCGAGGTTTTTTCATCTTGACTACGTATACGAAGTAACATAGTCTGCTGTGTGAGATTGCGCCTGTGCTTCGTCCTCTTGTTTGTGTAATATCTTGCGCTACGTTTTACCAATTGCATACCTGAACCCTATGTATGATAGACAGAATTACTATGTGTTAAGCTATCGAACTGCCTGCCCATTTGGCGGATGACTAAATCATATGCTATTAATTGTTATGATTTATTTACTTTTTTGTTTACTTTTATCAGTTTTGTTCTCAACCATGTTAATAAACCAGCAATTGTTTTTCATCTCTCTTTATTTTGTAAAAACTAATCACTCATACTATCTATCATTAACATTACTGGTCCTAAATCGAGCGGAACAGCAACATATCAAAACACTTGTATCTATATCACTGAAATTTTATTCATCAAAATTTATTTTATGTCTACCAAAATTGAAAATTCATTATCATTATGGCATCACTGGAATCAAAATAAAACTCCAAAATCAAGATTACAACACCTGGAAAATGCTTCAGCCCTTTTTCAAAAACTAAAGAATTACATCTACTGATAACTAAGGCTCAACTACAAACAAGACTTGAAGTTTTGAAGCAGGGACCTGGAAAAAGTTTGACAAAGATCACGAAAGGATCTGTGAGTCAAAGCCCGAACTGCTAGAAAATCTCGACTATCTAAATGAAGACCACTACAGCCGCGGAAAAGAAAGCTTACCTCATCAACAAATCGGAAATGCTGGACCTCCTTGACTTAGTCTCAACGTCATCTCTCCAAAATGCAAGTATTACAGAAAGTAGTAAATCCAACTCTTTTCTCAGACCAAAATTGCCTCAAATATCTTTGCCACAGTTTGCAGGAGATTATCAATCCTGGAAACCGTTTTAGCGATCTTTTCGATTCTTTAGTAATTTCTAATCCTGATTTAACTGATGTAACAAGATTACATTACCTCAAAAATAGCTTGGTAGGCGAGGCTGCTCAGTTGATATCTAGTTTTCAAATCACTGAGGAAAACTTTATTCCAGCTTGGGAAAAACTAGTAGCTAGATTTGAAAACAAACGGGTCTTGATTAACAAACATCTAGATGACATTTTCAATATCCAACCTTTAAAACAAAAATCTGCCAAAGGTCTTAATCATCTGATCTCAACTGTAAATGAGAGTTTGGGCTCACTTAAATCTCTTGGCTCGCCGATCGATCAATGGGATCACATCTTAGTATATCTGACTGTTCATCGTCTAGATCCTGATACACACGAGGCATGGGAGCTTCACCAAGGCGTATCGACGGAACCATCATCGCTGCAAGACCTACAGACCTTCATCGAGGGACGTGTACGGGCTTTGGAAAACATCGAAGCCAGGGAAGTGTCTCACTCGAATGGAATGGTGAATCAATCAAAACATCAAGGTAAACCTCAGCACAATCCTAAGATAAATGCAGCTTTGGTAGCAGAATCTAAAGAAAAAGGTATGTGTAAACTTTGTAGTCATGCTCATTACATAGTATATTGCAAAGAGTTTCTCGCTAAAACACCTGTTCAACGTAAGGACTTCTTATCAAGTAAAAGGTTATGTTTCAACTGTCTTGGTCCTCACTTGCTCAAAGAATGCCGATCTCAAAAATCATGTGTGAAATGTGGTAATCGCCACCATACATTGATTCATGACGCTGTCAGTAAACCTTTTGATACATCTAGTCAAATCAAATCCACTTATCAAACACCAAATCCACTAAATTCGGAAAGAAAATCATCAAACACACCACAAGTTTCCTCAAATCACTCTCTTCCCACTGTAAATCGACACACAGTTCTTTTAGCTACTGCTCAAGTTAGAGTAATCAGCCCGAAAGGTAACAACATTGTATGTAGAGCTCTAATAGACCAAGGCTCCGAAATTTCCTTTATCAGCGAGCATCTAGTGCAGACTCTTCATATTGAACGCTCCTCATCATCACTATCTCTTATCGGTATCGGAGGAAATCAATCATCAACTACTCGTGGATTAGTGTCCATTAACATTGGGAGTACATCTAACGACAAATTCATCTGTCCGTTAAGAGCTCATATTCTGCCAAAACTCACTGATAAGTTACCTACTATGACACCAGGTAAATCTAACTGGCATCATATCAAGAAGCTTCAACTAGCTGATCAAGATTTCATGACCCCTGGGTCTGTAGATTTGATACTTGGAGCTGATGTTTATGGAAGTATCATTCTTCCTGGACTTATCAAGGGTCCGCCTCTATCTCCTATCGCTCAATCAACCATCTTTGGTTGGGTGTTATCTGGGCCGTGTGGACTTTTCATCAATGACAATAAATCATCAATGTATCATTGCCTACTGGAGAACAAAGTAGATGATTTACTTCAGAAGTTTTGGGAACAGGAGGATTTTGCTAAAGATCCAGTTCAGGTTTTATCTCCTGAAAATCAAACGTGTGAAGAACACTTTCAATCAACGCACTCTAGGACTGAAACTGGAAGGTATGTTGTTAAACTTCCTCTAAAAGAGTCTGCTGAAAATCTAGGGAATTCTCGAACATCTGCTCTCAATGTATTGAACTCAATGAAAAAACGTTTTGTTACTGATCCTAACTATCACAAACTGTATTCTAACTTCATCTCAGAATATGAATCACTTGATCATATGTCAAAAGTAGGAAGTGATTCTGTAGTAAATACTCCAACATTTTACTTACCTCATCATGGCGTCCTTCGGGATACCAGTTCAACCACAAAACTAAGGGTGGTTTTCAATGGATCACAGCGTTCTTCTACGGGTAAATCTCTAAACGATATCCTTCATACTGGGGAAAAGTTGCAAACTAATTTATCTGATGTCTTAATTTGGTTCAGACAATTCAAGTACGTCTTCTCTGCAGACATTGAAAAAATGTATCGGCAGATTATGGTTCATCCAGATGACTGGGACTTACAAAGAATCTTATGGTACGACAATGAACAACTTTGTACATATCAGTTGAAAACCGTAACTTATGGTTTATCATGTGCTCCCTTTTCTAGCATTGAGAACAATGAATCAACTTGTAATCGACCATGGGAATCAATATCCTTTAGGAGCATCTGTTATTTCAAAAGGAAGATATGTTGATGACATATTTGGGGGTGCTGACACTATTGACGAATGTCAAGAGGTCATAACACAAGTCGATAAACTTTGCATGGAAGGATGTTTTCCATTACAAAAGTGGATAAGCAACAACCTTTCAACACTAACTTCAATATCTCCCGAACGGTATGTAAAAGAAGCTTCAATTTCAATCAAAGAATCAACAGCTGTAAGAACCCTAGGATTAACTTGGAAACCAGCAAGTGACGATTTTCAGTTCCAGATTGATTTCCAAACTCCAGTTCCGATAACTAAGCGAAGTGTTCTATCTCATATTGCAAAACTATTTGATCCCTTAGGATTTATCGCTCCTGTAATAATTCAAGCTAAAATATTTTTGCAGCAAATATGGTTGATTAAGTTAAACTGGGATGATTTTCTTCCTCCCTACCTGTTGGCACACTGGAAAAATCTTGAAGCTCAACTAGAAGACTTGTCTATTATATCAATTCCAAGATTTTTAGGTCTCACCAAATCATATTCCTGCTGTGTGGAACTTCACGGGTTTTCAGATGCATCCCAGTCTGCAATGGCTGCTGTTGTGTATATTAAAGTAAGGTCTGAGTCAGGTATTTTTGTAAACATTGTTTGTGCTAAAACCAGAGTTGCATCTCTTAAGAAAATGAGTATCCCCAGACTAGAGCTTACAGCAGCATTAATGTTGGTGCGTCTTGCAAAATATGTTAGAGAAATTCTAGATATCAAATCTGCTCCATTGTGGTTGTGGACAGATTCTCGTGTAACTCTTACTTGGATTCAGAACCACCCATCCAAGTGGAAAGACTTTGTTTGTAATCGAGTTAGCATTATACAGGAAACAGAACCATTAGCTCGTTGGAGGTATGTTCCTGGCAAAGAGAATCCAGCCGATTGCGCTTCACGTGGGTTATCTCCTAAAGCTCTCGTGGACCACAAGTTGTGGTGGTCAGGACCCTCGTGGCTCGCGGAAGATTCTGTAAATTGGCCCATGAGTTCCGACGAACTTGCAGAGGAAGCCGTGTCTGAGCAGCGCAGTCAGAAATCAACGTATTTATCCCAATCTAAATCAGAACCTGACTTACTTTCTCGCTACTCTGATCTCAATAAGCTACTTCGGATCACAGCATGGTGTCGAAGATTTATCAATCGTCTCAAGAAAATTAACAGTATAGAACACACTCCCTATCTGACACCCAAAGAATTAAATGATTCTTTACTACTTTGGACAGGTATTGTTCAGCTAGAAGCCTTCAATGAAGATCTAAAACAACTCACTAATCAGAAACCAATCAATAAGTTGAGTAAACTCCACAATTTCACTCCGTTTCTTGATCAAAATAAACTTATCAGAGTTGGAGGTAGACTCAACCAATCCACTCTTGAGTATGACTCAAAACACCCACTTCTCCTCCCAAAAGATTCTAATCTTTCAAAATTAATAATATCTGATTCCCACCTTCGTACACTACATGGTAGTACAAGCATTACATTATCAACCATTAGACAACGTTTTTGGATTCTCGGTGGTCGCCCAGCTATTAAGAAAGAACTACTACGGTGTGTCACTTGTGCTCGATACAGAGCTGAACGAGCTCAGCAACTTATGGGACAGCTTCCTACATCTCGAGTCACCCCTTCACGACCATTTCTCCACTCTGGTGTGGACTACGCAGGTCCATTCGTTATCAAGACTTGGCGAGGTAAAGCAGCAAAAACATACAAGGGATATATTGTAGTATTCATCTGCTCGTCAACATCTGCACTCCACCTCGAATTAGTCACCGATTACTCTGCAGAAGCATTCATTGCAGCATATAAGAGATTCACAGCTCGCCGTGGAATTTCTTCCACTCTGTCCAGCGATTGTGGTACTACATTTATCGGTGCTGATGCAGAACTAAAACGTCTATTCACGGCTTCAACAACGACAAGTACCAAACTAAGAGATCTTCTAACTAAAGATGGAACATTGTGGAAATTTAACCCTCCATCTGCTCCTCACTTCGGTGGTCACTGGGAAGCAGGAGTTAAGTCAGTGAAATATCACCTAAAACGAATTGTTGGTAATACTCAACTAACATACGAAGAATTCACTACCATTCTCACACAAATCGAAGCGGTTTTGAATTCGAGACCTCTCTGCAAATTGACTGATGATCCTGATGACCTATCTACATTGACTCCTGCACATTTTCTTGTTGGTTCATCACTATCTACAATACCAGAACCAGACCTCAAGGAAGTACCAGCAAATAGACTTTCAAGATGGCAGTTGTTGCAGCAAATGTTACAAAGTTTCTGGAAAAGATGGTCAAGGGAATATCTTCAGCAACTGCAGACAATTTATAAATGGAGATTTCCAAACACACAACTTAAAGTAGGATCAGTAGTCCTTATTATTGACGAACAATATCCTCCATCAAAATGGCCTTTAGCAAAGGTCATAGAAGTTCATCCTGGGCTTGACAATCTCATTCGCGTGGTAACACTGAAGACAGCTACTGGAATACTCAAAAGACCAATAGCAAAATTGTGCTCTCTTCCTGTCACAGAATAAAATTGCCCAGTTCCCTGTTGCAATTTGGGGGGGAGTATGTTAGAAGTACTATGTATACTATCAACTGCCTGCCATTTGAGGATGAAATCATATGCTATTAATTGTTATGATTTGATTTGACTAGATGTATCAAAAGGTTTACTGACAGCGTCATGAATCAATGTATGGTGGCGATTACCACATTTCACACATGATTTTTGAGATCGGCATTCTTTGAGCAAGTGAGGACCAAGACAGTTGAAACATAACCTTTTACTTGATAAGAAGTCCTTACGTTGAACAGGTGTTTTAGCGAGAAACTCTTTGCAATATACTATGTAATGAGCATGACTACAAAGTTTACACATACCTTTTTCTTTAGATTCTGCTACCAAAGCTGCATTTATCTTAGGATTGTGCTGAGGTTTACCTTGATGTTTTGATTGATTCACCATTCCATTCGAGTGAGCCCAATCTCATTCGCGTGGTAACACTGAAGACAGCTACTGGAATACTCAAAAGACCAATAGCAAAATTGTGCTCTCTTCCTGTCACAGAATAAAATTGCCCAGTTCCCTGTTGCAATTTGGGGGGGAGTATGTTAGAAGTACTATGTATACTATCAACTGCCTGCCATTTGAGGATGAAATAATATGCTATTAATTGTTATGATTTATTTACTTTTTTGTTTACTTTTATCAGTTTTGTTCTCAACCATGTTAATAAACCAGCAATTGTTTTTCATCTCTTTTATTTTGTAAAAACTAATCACTCATACTATCTATCATTAACACAATACAATTAGACTTCCCATCCCATTGTATAAATGTTGAAGCTCGTTTTTCATGTCTAGTTCATGTCCGGTGACACAAGTGGCTAGGGTCGACGAAATCATGTTTCTATTATTATTTAGAGTTAATTTCATGATTTGTGTTTTACTATTTGGTTATATAACTATAGGATTAGTTATTGTTTATGATTATATCGTTTTATTTGGTTAAACGGGGTTGTAAATGCCTGAAATAACAAGAAACAAATTGTAAACTAAACACGACCTCTATAGTGCACCGAACAGAACTAACGATAATATTGGCTTCAGCTGTTCCATAAGAATGGGAAATCTACTAAGGGAGTATGTTTATTTATCGTTTTAGGTACCGTAGGCTACTTTCTAAACTCGTACGGGATCAGATTACAGATTCTGAAACGGCTTCACAACTTTTTGTAACAGTCATAATTTCCGCTACATTCTCCTAAATAACATCGACGAACTTAATGCAAATTCATATAAACAGAATTAAGATTGTACGAGAATGTTTTTGAAGTAAGGGCCGCTTGTGCGTGTCAGTGAGTGTTGCTTCTTAGTTCCCGTATACGCAGCAATGAATCTCCTAGTCGCTTATTGGCATAATTTGTGAACAGAACGGCTACATTTGCAGCACTCTAGCTGAATTTCACTTTTGTGTGTGTCTAGCATTTTGAAAACGAATGAATCTCCCACCATATACGTCATAAGGTCAGTGACAGGTTTTTAGACTGCAAGAAACAGATTTGCTGCAAAGATTCATCGCAAAGAACTGAAGTTTATAGCCATAATAGAGAGTAAAGTGTTCCACACATAGATTACTATTTCGTATAGATGTTTTAGATGTCTGTACCATAGTTTTTGTAGTAGTCTGTAGTAGTTTTTGATTGTGCTTATTTGAAACGATGAGGTTAAGGCTTACATAAGTAAAACTCAAAATAAGTCTGGTATAAAAGTCTTAGGACAAGTATGTAAGTGATTTTAAGTATGTAATTTTCAATTTTAAATAATCAATGTTTTTTCTGTTACAGTTTATTGTACCATCTGGACCTACTTGCCTCAAAGATTGGGTTGGAAAGTATGGAACCATCTCGCTCCACATATACTTCCGCCAATTCAGCGAACTCAATTGTGTTGTCTGATTGAAAAATGTTCTAAAAAAATATAACCCTATATTTCTACATATACAACTTTTTGTTCCCTTTAACATTGTATTACACGAAAGCTCTTAACCCATTCTGGAGCATTACTAGTGTAAGAGAAATCGATAAACTATATTTTATCCTTGTGTTTTAAAGTTCACTTATATTTACTAAAAACTTTATACATACGAATGTCGCTGTACAACAGCGCTTCAATATACTAAATTATTGATTTTTTTAAGCTCTACAAAACGGTTTAGACAGAAATTGCAACATTTTTTGTTTTAGGGCCAAAAATGGGAAAAACCCATTTTTACCCCATAAAAACCCCCATAAACCCCCGTTCCCATAGTCCGATTATGCTGGATCGCGAACTCGTTCGAATAAACGTAGGTTTACACGTTTGTACCGAATTTCATCAAAATCGGATCATTTTTGCTCGAGTTATCGCGCTAACGAACACACCCATATATATATATGAATTTGAAAGAATTGTGTTTTTGGCCTCTAGGGACCTCAAAATGAAAAATTAAATCGGTCCCGGGTCTAGGTCTTACCATGAGTACTACGGTAATAGCTTATTCCCTATACGGGAAATTCGCTAAAAATAAATATACATTTTAGACACAACATTCAATTAGGCCATCATGTCGACAACGTAAAAAGATGCTAAATCAAACACAAATTTATAAATCAGCAGTTTGACACTATAATCTAGGTGCTAGTTATGTGTGATGAAACTAAACGAAAGTGAAATTTGCACAACCTTTTACTTCGTTAAACATGCAAATTGGCGTCTGTGATTCTTAGTGTTTATGTTGGCTCTCAAAACCTTTTAGGAACCATGACTTGCTTTTATTCTCATTTGTTGACATTTTGAAGTATTTTGTGTTTAATACCATTTTGCCTAATCACTTGTGTATAATGTGGTATTAGTGAGAGAGGTCCAGAGTTCTTGAACAACCCCAGTGAACTCATCGAACACTGAAACGTAATTTCCTGTAAATATGTCCTATCGCTGAACTGCACTCTTATTCGCTTATATTCATGAGATAAATATCAAATTATATGGAGAGATTATCTAGATTAGTGGTATTACAATAGCAATTCCACATTATGATCCAATACCCAAACAGTTCAGCTCTGCTCAAAATAAAGCACAAAGAATCTAATTTTTATAATAATAATAATAATATTTCATCCACTAAACTACTTCCTATCAATGTATGAGTATTTCTCTCGCTTAAAAAATTTAGGCCAAGTAAACCACGAAAAGATTTTTAGTTAAAAGAAAATTATTCCTCTCCCAGTGAGGGTACGCATATCTTCAATTGAATAAAATAAGGATATTAAGTGTACTAGTGAGTCTCAAAATATAAACCAGAATAAATTTATGGTCTACACTACACTCTCATATTTTTATCCATAATTATAAAAAAAAAAATTATCAACTAACCCCTAAACTAATGTAAACTAATGTTCCTATCACCAAACATCTGTTAAAAAAAAATAAAATAAAATCCCCTTTGCACATTTTAAGCCCTTTAAGTGAAACCGGCCGAAATACACAGAATACTTTTGATTCCACACACATAGAACCGGACAAACCCGTTAAAGAATAAATCATCTGCTCAACAATAGTCAGTAACAAGCGGTGGTTAGGTAACAATCAGCTGTAGTGCTGCGTAACAGCTGGCTGTAGTGGTGGGAGAGACATAGTTGCGAATAACTCATCGGTCACTTCACTAGTTCTCTTTTATCAACATGGAGCGGTTGACTGTATTTCTACTGATTTTGGGGGTTACTAAAGGTGAGTTTGTTATGAATATTTGTACTTTTGGAATTTGAAGTTCATAAATTAATCTTATATTTATCGCTTATTAATCAATATTTTCAATTCGATAGTTTCAATCGATATTAGCATAGCCCAGTTAAGAAACTGTACCCTAGTATTTGATTTATTTTGAACTTGTTTATTTATACTCATATATTTCAACTGTTTTTCCTTTACATTTATGATAGTGAGGTTATGTTTATCATAAGCATTTAAAATATCAGTACTGGTAACAGCTGATTTACGATTAAAACGCAACTGTTATTTATCCGTTGGAATTTGACCTCTTAACAATTTTAATTTTTGTGTAAAATTAGGTTTTAATATATTCAAGAAATTATTTTAACGGAGAATTTGAATAAAACTTACGAATGTTTAAGGAAAAGCTGCCAGTTAAATACTATATTTACTCAACTACAATTCATTTTCACCACCCAGACCACGACACATGTTGGTAAATATACTTAAAAACTGGTACTGTAAATTTGTGAAACCTTTTCCTGTTCTTGAAACGTTGTTTGACCAAAACATTGATAAATGTAAGATTAAATTGATTTCTTTAAAAAATATTTTGTATATATGTATAATATACCTATTGCTCATTGACTGTATTTTTTTAAATTTTAAAACCAAGGTTTTTTTTACAGTTTTATGAAGTAAGTATTCTCTTTGATGAAATATTTTTAGTTTAGGATATATCAGATTCTTGATTTGTATCCAAAATAGTACAACTTTAAAGATGTAAAAAAGAAAATTTAGTATAGGTTCAAAAGTAAATAACCTCGTTTTCTTTGTATTTTAAAGATCCATTACTTTATACAATCATTGATCTCATTGTTTGTTTTTGTTTCAGGATTTGACGTGACAGATATATTCCGTAAGTTAATTTGAATGTTTTTGTTAAAATGATAACCATAAGGGAAAGTTCAAATGGCAAATCCAATGTCATGTTTTTATCTAATCTAGTTTGTTTTCATGGTTAAAATTTGAAATAAAATATTTGGTAATCTAAAACACATCAAATAAATGTTTGGAAAGTTTTAAAACATTTACATTTCACTATAGAAAACTCCTAGGAATTTTAAAATCGATTACCTTAAAGTTTAAATTTGAATTTTCTTAATAGCTTACACACTTATCTCGTTTTCCATTTGGGTACAGAACCCACCTCTTGTACTTTCAAACTTTAAATTGAAACAAGAAGCAGTTTGTATATTGATTTAACAAAGTTTATACAAAT